CTCCACGTTCAGCCCGCGAGCCATGCTCGGGACTCTTGTCCAATAAACCTTCGGTGTTTGACATCTCGGATTTTCCTATCTTTATCACATTGACCGTCCCGGTCCACTGCCCGCGCCAATAGCAGTTCTGCTTCCAAGCAGAAATAAGGTTAATGACTCACCAATGCTTCATCAGGAGACGTGCGCGAAGTGCTTAAGGTCATCAGCCTCCAATCAATCCATGGCTCATGGTGTTATAAACATGCCATACCAAAGATAAGGCCATATCTTGCATCCAAGTCTAAGACTATCGATCGTTCCACGCTACCAAAGTTTATAGACTTGACACCGAGGTCCACAGAGACCCTCGATACAGTGACACAAGTCCCCGTCGCTAAGAGAACCGTGACGGTGTCACAAGACCACGCTTCCCGAACTCGATAAGGATTCTCCATGGCCTCTCAAAGCCCTTCACGGTCGCTTTTACGACCAGCAAGCCTGGCTTGCATACAAGTTCCGTGTTCCCATCTTCTTTGAGGCACAACAGAACTCAATTCTTCACCAGTAGGGCGCCCCGCACCTACTGGGTTTTCCCGTTTTCCCTCGGCAAACTAACCTGGTTAGAAGCGAGACGTCGGCTAGACGAACCTTTACTCTCCTTGCGCGAGGGACAGCCCGTCCAAAAGTGACGAGTGTCTCCAAGGACAAAACGCCATCGGGTGTTCTAACGCTGCTCGAAGCTCGGAGCTCTCTTTCCGCCTTGTCAGTATGGCTGCGATCCATTGGCTCAGGCTCGCTCGACGACCTCTTAGGATGTGAAAACGAACCAGGTCGTGCCGACTTGCTGTTGAATTCGGCTTTTAATGCCATTTTCATCGTTTTTTTCTCAAAAGAAGACCGATTCACGCGGAAGACTTCCATTCTGGCCACGCCAGTGCGGAGACCCTCCATAAAGACGGTCACTGCAACCGCCACGGGGAGAGGATTTGCTGCCATCCCGGCAATGAGAGTCCTCAACTGTTGGACAAAGTCCCCTAACTTTTTCTTGCCCTGTCGGGCAGCAAGGAAACGCGATCTCACAGGATCTCACGCGATATGGCTGACGATGCGGTTAGAACACTCGCAGACGCTGACGCTTGTGCTCTTTCAAGGAGGGTAACGCAGCGTTAACCGAAGCATCCACGTTAGTGCCATTCTCTTACTCGGCCTCAGAGCTTAGAGATAGCTAGCGCCACGTGCTGTCGCTCCTTTATGAGCATGGCAGAAGCCATTGCCATATGGCTCCTCTTATCAAAAGAAGGAGATTCTCTCCATCCAAACCCTCGAAGGTCTAAAGACACTTACTCATGAGTGGTCTGGGTCGAAAGGAATCATCCGTCATCGACGGTGGCGTTATAGATGCTGTTGACTCTGACAGCTTCTGCTGTAAGTCTTTCAACAAAGCTTTTCCGAGCTCCAAATACGCCTCAATGCTTATGGCCTCAGGCCTTTGCCCAACGAAGTGCTCCACGCCCTCAGGACCCAGCAGGGACATCAGCTTATTTAGCCCGTCCTACATGCCCTGGGGCAAAAAGGAATATTCCTCGATCCTCAAAGAGGATCAGAAGTAGCAACTCCGGCGTAGATTGACTTCGAGTGCTACCAAGTGCAGCGGGGCTGCTGTAGCGCTTTGCTTAGAGGAAGCTCAGCTAAAGTCACCAACCTTACATTATATACTAGTAACAGCACGAATGTAGCGAATCGCAACCCGCTACCTCCAGATGCTAAACCCTTCAACAAGGCAAAGAAACACTTCTTTAAAATTGAAAGTGTATTTAATTATTGTGCGGCAGAGTCGCTAATATCTAACCTCTTGGTTTTCCTAATGGATATAGTAAGCCCTAATTCAAAAGCAAAACCTGACTAATATAGCAAGCATTATTAATATAGTTATATGTTTATATACTGGCAATTCTGCCACGTGGTATCTTCTTGTTACGGTGAGCCACACCACTGTGTGATCACACAAACTGTGCGATCACACAAACTGTGTAATACACACCTATGTACGGTCGCACAATCTTGTGCGCCCCACTCTTTCTTACAAGTGTACGTGTAACACCGTTAACGCTCCCGATTACATTTTTGTGGGGCATCACTTTTGGTACACATACAATGCCGATCAAAGCTTGTTCACCAGCTTTGGAGAGGGCACTGTTGAGACACATCTAGAAACTCCCTAACAAGCCGATGGTGAGAACGGTATGGTTACCTCAATCAGACATTTCTGTTAAGAGTCCCGCGCAGCGAGGGTGTCGTAGCTCTTTTGCTTAAAGGATGCTAAGCTAAGGTCGGCAACATTTGCTCTATACTTACTATCAGTGTAGCGGATCGCTTATTTCTGCTTGTTTTACTTGTGCTTGCTGTTTGGTTTTGTGCTATCTTCATTTCGAGAATGGCCTAACTGTCGTACACTTTACCATTATATCGTATCAAGAGAAAATTCGTTGGTAGCAGTGGCATCGCCTGATACAGAAATCAAGCCTTTGAAGCTGCAGCTTTTGAATTTTTAAAAGAAAATGTTTGAGCACTTCTTTTTCTAATGAATGTACAGTTTTACTCGCGTCGAATATTTGTGCTGCTAGAAAAATGTTTTCAAGCCAGGAAGCTGATTTGAAGATTTTCCGCTCCATGTTTGATCTCCGGTAATTAAAAGATTTACAATCAGGATGAGAAGTGCTGTACACCTTTTTTCAGTAATTGGCTGGTGCAGTGCGTTTCATACCAAATTTCGTTATCAGTTGTTGACATATGTAAGTTTGTAAGATCTACATGTCAAAGCTTCCAGGGATCATATCTTGAGATGCTTCATGATATTTCTGCAAAGCTTTGATATGAATCTACGCACAAAGGCTTACAAATCAAAACCTTTCAGGCATTAAATAACGTTGTAGAACAAAATCATTATCAGACCAATGTATACTATCAAAATTTAAAAGGTACCTGATCGACAATGTAGCGATCTTCCGCTTCACGTTGCACCTCATCAGTGTCTCATTTGCGTCGATCTCCGCGTAGTTCACCGACACACTGTCCATTCCTGTGTAAACTGTTTTTTTGTAAATTCTGTCAGTTACTGTCATTGTCGACTTCATCAAAGTTTGCAGTCATCATTCCTCATGCTTATCATTCACAGTAACCAATGTTATCTACGACATCTGTTCTTACATCCGCTCAGTCTTCATCTACAGTTCGTTTCCATGTCCATGCTTCAGCCTCAGTGCCACGCGGGTGACTAATCAGGCTCATTCTCTTTGAGATATATAGTATCGTTCGATTGGGCTGATATCAGCAAGAAGATTAGAACCATTTCAATTGAAGAAAACAACATCGTAAAAGTCTCAAAATTACCCGAGAGTTTTTAGAACATACAAACTTTGGAGAAAAACGCATGTCACTCCAGCAACGTCGTTGATTTGCGCGTGTAAGTCGTTTACGAGGCTACTTTTAACCACTGGTGTCGGAATTGTCCGCTTTCAATATATCAAGTATGGTGCAGCAACGTTCACCAGATATTGGCTGTAAACGCGGGGATCTTTGTTCGAATTAGATGTCCAAAAGTTGCGGGAAAAGCATCTTGCTTTATATTCACCGGGAGCGTGACAGCAGCGAGATTGCTGTTTTTAAAAATATTACTGAAAAATACGATTTTATTACCCGGAAATTATCCAGACATATGACTAAAAAGCTGGCATTCATACTGACGGCACCTCTGCATGCGAAATGACTTCTTTCTGCAACATATCCCACCCATGTACACCTAGTTTTTATCATTCTTTCCAATAGAGCCATCTCTGCAATGCCTTTAATATGCCATTCGTTTTTTCTCTACCGAGAAGTCTTCCTGGAAACGGGGGATGTGATATCTCTATATATTTGTACTTGAAGGGGTAACACAACGCGTTTTGCGTCAAGTGAATCCGTGCTGAGTACAGCATGCCTTAAAACAGCGGTCGCGGCGAAAACGCAGATCAAAAAATGTAGATCTGATAGTATTCGAGGTTAAGAGCATTTTGTTTATCAAATCTCTAATAACGCAATTTGAGTTGCGTCTGATCCTGATGCTGTATATACTTGTAGCTGCCACTGTGATATGAGATGTGGACGACGGGAAAGCGTTTTCATCTGCACACTTTGCCGACCAGGCCTCTACTTTAGCAGAAGAATGCTCAGCAAAGAATAATCATCGAGTATTTTTCAGAGGGTGGCGAGGCTACGATGATGCATTTCGGCATGACACAATTCAAATAGTATATAGACAACTTAGATCTGAAAATATGAATTCTGAAATTGCTACGATCGCACTAGTCTTTCGCTGTGAGTTAAACTTTTGAATAATGAATATTTGTAGCTCATAGCTTACAGCTGGCGGCATCTGGACGCAATAACGCGACTTCTCTTGCGCCTCGTTAACTATCTAAATATGGAGATGTTAGAGCATGCAGACCATATCGGTATTACTAACATTGAATCCTTAGACGTGCTCAATCTTACAAATTCCTACAAATGGTGGCAGAAGCCAATTTACTGTGGCTGAATCTGTGTGTGATTTGCGCAAAGACTACTCTTTGACTGAGGCATCCCAGAGGCGGGACTTCATCAGTACCAAAAAGCAAAAATATTACATGTTGGATTGATGATGAAAGCGACTTTGATGATGCAAAGCTCAGCAAACTTTCGATACGAATGTATATATCCATGCATTGTGGTCTGCACAATTTATTGACGAATATATCGTCATATTCTGTCCATTCACATTCACAATAAAGCCTAAGAAACTGCGTCAATACAAAACGTTTTGATGCTGGTGCATAGCATTGGATAGCATGCATAGCAAGTATCACTTGCAGCAATCCTCCTGGGGTGATTATTTCTGTGAGGGTGACATCATCTTCTCGCGTACGGTAAGTCAAAAGCGCCTTACAGGCCTGGATTTACCTTTCTGGTAAACATGATAAGTTTACTCAATGATATTCAGGTGTGGAAGCGCAAGTTATGTCACATTGGTCCCTTGGTATTTTATTTTAAGTACGGAACAATCCGACACCAAACTCGATAATCTGGGGGCAGAACCCGTGGCGGTTCTCCTTTCACCACGTCGTGTAATCCCTTCCACAAATAGGAAAAAGCACCAGATGAAAATTCGAGTATTTTAATCACCTTCTGGGACTTCGTGCTTTTCGAGACGGACTTAATTATTCCTCATGATGGCCCTGGCTTTCAGGGCTGTTTATGCAAACTCGGTGATCTCGCAAGAGTTTGATATCGATGTACAAGTTCGACCGCCATGCTCTGCGCGACAACAGACTGCAATTTTGTCAAAATAGCTGAACTTATTGACAAAATGTAACTTAAGTATTTGCTGCACTGATGTGTAAGACAATTCCTGCGAATCTAATTGCTATTCTCGGAGCATTCCGCTTGGAGTATTCACAGATTATATCACTGACTTTAATGAGAAGTTAGGACTTATCATTATGCAAATAGAGAGTACTGAATAAACCGCAACCGACCATTCTTTTCGATGGCGCGTTTTGCAAAAAAAGAGGTTTACACCAGTTTAGTGTTTGTATTAAGCTGCTTATATCCCGCCAGTCGCCGTCAGCTTCATGAGGCGGGATGTTGACTTCATATGAGGATATTTAATTTCTCTCATCAACGTACTTCGTGCTTCGCACGAACAAAAGACGTCTATGACGTCATACTAATTCCATGGTATAGGTCATTGCCTTATGACGCTGTTTTCGATTCCGGGAATCAAGTAGATTCAATGACGCACTCCCGGACCAAATCAAAATATTTATTGGATGTTTTGTCACCACGTCAATGAATGATTGATTTGTAGGATTCATAAAAATAGCCACTCCACTACTTGTTATCACTGTAATCAGTGTCTCGAGAAAAAGTCGTCGATGACAGATGATATATAACGGGGTTTCACAAACCCGGTTACGAAGGGGTGGGTCACACAAATTGGTGTGTATATATAAGGGTATAGGTTACACAAGACGGTGTCATCACGGCTTCACCTCCACAAAAAGTCAGTACGTGGCCGGAGTGTCAGTATTTATGCATTTTTATTAGGTCTTACTATTGAAGCAGAAAATCCTATAGATTTAGATAAAGGCGGCTTTGCCGCGAATGAAACAAAGAAATACAGTTTACAATTTAACGGAAGAGTATATTTGCCTTGGGTTAACGTTGTGATTACTCTAAGAGTAAGCGTTTTGCCATCCGCTACACTTGTACTAGTTCAAAGTATAGAACGGAGGTCACCGACCTCGGCTTAGCTTCCTCTAAGCGAAAGAGCTACGACAGCCCCGCTGCATGATAGGCCCAGGATTTCCTTCAGTCCCGACTGTGCTGTTTTCGTGGTTTTACGTGTCTTGCAGATCCTTTTAAAAAATAATTTATTAAAATTAATGATCGTTAATGAGAAGAAGCTTACAGTCTTTAGGCCGATATATGCATATACTGGCTCCATTCATTGCAACATATTCTTTCATACCACCAAACCGTGGAGCTTCACTACTTCGCTTGGATAGTGCATCACATGGTAGCTCCGACTTAGCAGCTGTATTTGTTTCAAATGAATGAGAGATCCTTAATAGCTTTGCAGTTTAGTACTCTTTTTTTGCGTCTTGCAGTTGGCCGTCTTTCCTGACTCTGGCAAGGTTGACAGTGACACACAGTCGCTCATACTCGTCTTTATCGGCTCCAGCACAAATAGATTCTGATTCTTAGCTGCGATCAAACTTCCCACCAGCAATATTGTCGAAGGACCTCAAAACACTGAGGTCCATTTTCGCTTTTGCAATATCGCAATACAATTATGGAGCCCTCCAAACACGTTCGGTACTACCTGTAACATCGTGAGACTGTGGCTTACTACGACTTCTGCCGCTTGATTTTGGTCAAATCACATTCAATAGCATTGTTGCTCTTCAGACGCTTTTCGTTAAAACTTATGTCAAGGACCAAAGCTATTTGAGCTGCTGTTCTCGCCAAACGCGCTGTTGCTCATGGCTGAAGTAAGCTTACGACTCACCAGCCCTAAATTCTGGCTTCTACAGCCTTAACAGGGTAATGGCGCAAAGAACCACTAAAAGAATCCATAGATCAAGACGTTCAAGCCACATCGTACCTAGAAAGAGATTTTATCAAGAATCCAGGAGTCAAGATCTTCTCACGCCGACGGAGTCAGTAAGCTCTGTCAGAAGATCAGACCAAACAGAATTTTTCAACATGCCCCGTTGCAAGACGCAAGAATACTGTACCATATTTGTTAAATACGATGCCTCAGCAAATTACATTCTACTCTTGGCATCTAGGCGTGTTGCGCGACACACAACGACCCGAAATTTATCAAGCCTTCCTGTGACTTTGCAATGCCGGGGACGTCAATTTTGAGAGCCAATATCCTTGCGCCTGGATCGCAATTTTTCTTAAAGAGACTCGTTATCGATCGAGCTGAGTTTGTTGATGTCTACGGGGAAACGAGAGCCCGATTCTAACTCGGGAGGATGGACTTCACAAACTGGGCTTGTCGCAAAGATTTTGGCAGCTGACACTACACGATATCCAGCCATTTGTACTCTTTAGTCGAAAGAGAAGGAGCTCACAACGCGCAGTTGCCTCGCATTGTTAAGGTAGATCAGCTGCAAGTATCGCGACGCTACCCTACAGCTAAGAAATTTCTTTCATTCATCTTAGTATAGCGAGGTTGATCGCATTTGGCTCGTTGAGACTCCACCTCCCGATCCTATCATGATCTTGCGACATAAAAGTTGTAATTTGGATATACTACAACATTAACCGCATTCTCAAAGAATCATGGAAAATGCAGATGGACTTGACGCGAGCCGCACCTGCTCACAACAATACACGCGAGTATAAAAATACCGCATTTAGAAGAGGACCTTCCTTCATCGCGGCAATAAGAATTGTCGCCGATTGTGTTCCCATCAACAACTGGTTAGGGTGTCTCAATAGGTTACTCTCTTGCTGTCTAGACGTCCAGGTAAGTATTATCTTCTCCCGACCCTTGGGTAGCCGATGTCTCGCGACCAGACACAGACAGTCATTTGTTGTGCGTGACTACTATCCCAAGAATAGATACTCGAACATTTCGTTTACATTATGTGCTTTATACTCACAGAAAAGCGAGTCTCTTCTCAACATGGTGTTAAGATCGACAGCTTGTGTCAAGAAGCGCGACAGGGATGCTGTGCACTGCTCACGAAGGTAGCTTCGTCACAAGTATTCTGCGTTGATAATGCATCGAGGTCAAGTTAGTTTGCTTCATAGATGAGCAGGAGCAGGCTTTTTGAGCAGCTTAGTACTTAGTTCATCACACGAGACCAATTATATCTTGTAAATCTCGAAGAAGAAAAAAAGTACGGCATTAATTAAGAATCTTGCGAATTAGAAAATGAAAACCGTATTTTGTATTCGTTTTGTATATTCAATAAGAAACTATATGTAGTGCTTGACGTTGGGCTGACAGCTTACGTGCCCAACAGACGTGACAGATACGGAGTCCTATCGCCCGCTTCAGTAGCAATACTCTGTTATCTTTTAATTATGCTCATTTGCACATAAGTGCATCTGAACAATTGCACATAAGTGTAAGGTATAAGTACAATCAAATACCCTACGTACCCGTTACACGTTTCAACCCCCCCAGAAGCAGCTGGTGGAAGCCTCAGGGAACTAAGGAGATTTATTCATCCATTCGAAAAATGGCAGGGGGGTGGAATTGCATGAGATGCGTTGCCCAGTGAAAAACGAATATATATACATCGCCGACGAGCCGTACATATAGTGCTATACCATTTTCATCACCTAGCGCTTGACGCGCAACTTCTGATCATTGATCTTGGATGGTTCGATCTGGACATGTCAGATCTGGGATCAAGAACTTTGAAAATTTTGGTTGTATACCTGGATCTTGATCCGAGACGATTACCAAAAAGAATTGTTTTGACAATTTTTTTAAAAAAAACAGGAGATCAGCTTTATCTTTACTCGTGACTGCGTCGCAGAATCGGTAAAATTTAAGTATGACTAAAAGCATCAAAAGCGAAAGGTATACGAATGCATTGCCATCACTCTGTCGATAAAAGATCTAAGTGTTATGTGAATTTGTACATTTTCGGCATGCTGGTAAAGAACATCAAATCGTACGGCATAACGCTACTCTTTGAAAGCTCAACAGAGACCCTCACACGTGTATCCCAATTGAAGATCTTGGGCCACCAGAATAGAATGCACACTGACTTGTATTTAATTCTTTAACCGGAACATCTTTTGAAAGGAGTATTGTGACTCTCCACAATAATATTATATTTCAAAAGCTTATTACGAGGAACAACTATGCGTAATGTGTCAAATGGATTCAAATTGTAAAATTTTCGCGAGACTGGAAGTATCGATTTAAAGATGCTCAAATAAGTGATCTTCTAGATAAAACCAACATCAGGCTTCCTCAGTTTCGATAATGATGACAATTGTGCGTGATATTTGAGATGTCGTCGATGGTGGAGGTCACCATCATGCAATGAAATGATTTATAATCTTGGTGGCGCGAAAGCGCACCCGGCACCGGCTTGAATTTTACGGCGGAGGCATACTCAGCAAAAGATAGTCATCGTGCTTTTCTCGAAGCGAGGTGTGACTACGACGCTGGTGTCCTTAAGAA